TCAATGTTTTTGTTTGTCAACAGATAATTGATACAATTTGTACAGTTAAATTGTGCAATACATCTATGAGCCAAATATCCTGCAAAGTATAATACTGAACAATCTTCTAATGTTATCGGTTCTTCTTCTTTAATTTCTATATTATTTAAAGATGTTGATGTCAACAATGATAATGATGATGGCGTAGGTGACGATAATGTTGATGGTGTTGGTGAAGACGATGATGATGATGATGATGATAGTGGATCTTGAGGAGGTAATTCAACGACTAAGCTAACCTGTTCTTGCAACTGAATTTCATCCAAATCTTCTATATTTGCTTTGCAGTTAGTTCCTTTTGAAGTGACCAATGAAAAAATACAATTACTTCGAAACGATGTTCTCAAAGTCCTAGCAGTAGGATTTTTGTTGTACCCCCCTTTTTGACGGAAAATACTAAAGAGATTTTCTAAAATGTCCTGATTGAAGCGGTTGGTAAGTAAAAACAAAATACCATTTTGTTTTTCTTCTTCAAATAGATTCAATATTCCATTAATGGTTTGTGTAATTCCATTGAAACAGGGAGGACGAGACATCTTTCCTTTTTTATATTTATGCATATTTGTGAAATATGTTGAAGCTTTCATTAAAAAAGGTTTCACTTTTCCCACATCCGAAAGAGCACAATTATATGGATTATTACTTAGAAGAGTTCTACTATTCAAGCAATCAAAAAGTTTGTTCATGAAGTCTACGAAATCTGCTGTATCTTGTGCGTTTTTATTTTGTAATTGTTTTGTTTGTATACACGTCCGCATTGTTGATGCCATTGAATGGCTAAATACTTGAGTGGCAAATTTTACCCTCATTTTTTGGAAAGAATTAGGGAATATATGTGCATCAGTTATTTTTAATAGAGCCCTACTTTTTTTATTTTTTTTGTCCACTTGATAAGTATCAATTATATCAGTATAAGAAATTTCTTTGTCATCTTTTTTAAAAACACTACCTATTAAATTGTTCCTGATGCTCTTAACAAGATGGGGGACATCAAAAATGGCAAATATTTTATTTTCATCTATAAAAAAATAAGGCTTATCTTCACTTACATTCAATAATTTAAGAGCACTTTGGTTGTTCGTTCCTTGGTCACAGACTGTTAATTTTGGACAAAGTCCTACACCTATTAGTTCTTTTATAACATCAACTATTAATGTTTTCAACGTTTTAGATTTCACCGCAGAATGAGCTAGGAAATAAGCAATAGGAAATTTCCAAGATGAATATATGCCTCTAACCATAAAAACAAGTGCTGTATTGGCAGTTTTATTTCCTCTTCCAATTTTACCAATATCCTCAAAACCTTCTACAAAGTCGTATTGTTTAGAATATTCCAAAAACTCTTTGATGGAAATTTCATCAAATAAAACACTACATGCCTTTTCTTTGTAACTTTTAGCTTCAAATTTTTTTTTTATATGTTCTAAAAATGATCTGTTAAAGCCTGGTAAAAATTTAGATTCTCCAATCCAATTACGGATTGTGGAAGGAGCTGGTAAATTTACTTTTTGAAGTCTTAAAAATTTATATGCGGCTGGCGATTTATAAAATAAAGAAAGAGCAAAGTATTATATAATCAATGATAGATACCTATCAAGATAATTCATTTTCTAATTACATACTACATAGTATTTACTTTTTAATTTCTGGTAATACAAACAACATTGTTATCCTTTCTTCGGGGTCAGTGCCTATTTTTTCCATATAAATAGGTACATTATCCATCACTGGAAGATGAACATAGTCTCCAGTCAATTGGCAATGGAAATCGGTCATGGTTTGTGGTGATGTTGGTTGATTAGATTTTCTATGCCTTTGCAAGGTTCGCCGATGAGAAACAAATGGACCAACATTTTTATTAATGAATTCAGGCATAGAACTTGCCTAAGATATTAATAATATAGTATAAATGATTTAATATTTATTTGTAATACAATGTAGATATATTTTTAAATATTATAAATACCTCATTGTAAATTACACGAAGCGAAATCTGTTCATTTTTGGAACGTTCGTTACAAATACTTCTAAATTTTGATACAATATATAAGTTTCCTACATGATTGTTTTCATGACCAACAGTTAACACAAGTTTTGTTTTATAATTTTTTGCTATTTTACCTCTTGCTTTACACCTAAAACAAGAAAATATAGCTTTATGAAAAAGATTTTGTAAAATTAACAAACTTCAGAATAAGGCTGTTTTGTTTTGTTTTATTTTCAACAATTACTATAATTATTATTTAATAGCATATAATATTTATTAATAATTAGTGGATAGTAATTAGTAAAAAATATATATTTTTTTTAAATTTAAAACTTGAAAGTTCTATACACAAAAAAGAACTTAAATCGAGTATTTGTTATTTAATGAAATTAAAAATTAAGCATTGTAACTACTATGCATACATTATGCCCTTAATAATTTATGTTAAAATGAAAAGCGTAGTTTCTTGCTCAAGACACCCTTTTATATGAAAAACTCTCACGCCTAGTTGAGTGGTCTAGTTTAATTAATTTTGTGTTTGTTAGAAAGAAGGTTTTCCACAAGGCACATTGTACTTTGAATTTTAATTTCGTCGTTTAAACAATAGAAATAAAAAAAAACAAAAATGTTGTGAAAATCGATAATATTGTAAATTGTATTGATATCAATATTGATCATATTGAAAATGGTTTAAAAATACAATTTTGAAAATTCAAGTCCTATACGCCTAAATAGAAGTGTTCTCTTTCCAAAAACAAATTATTAAGGCTCCTCTTAACAATGTATTATAGGTACCTACTATCAGAGGCGCAAATAGGGGGAGGGGGGCTTGGGGGGCTTGTTTAGTAATCAAAGGTGAGATATTTGTCAATATTGAAAACTGGTTGGACAGTGATATGATATGATATTTTAATCTTTTAGTCCGGTAAATATTTAAACATAAATGTAATCAGCCAGGGAAATTTTATTTTTTAAAAATTATTTTAGCATATTGAAAATATAAATTAATTTCTTTAATTGCATTTTAACCATTTCTTATTTTTTTTTATTGCATCTATTAATAAGACAAATTTCAATTCCCTAAAGTAGAGTTCAATTATAATAAAAATATGACTTCAAAAATATAAGATTTGTTTGTTTGTTTTTTTCAAATGTTTTATTAAATGTAATTTACTTTTATAAAATAGTAAGTTTTTGTATCAAGTGTCAATGTAGCTGACGTGCATTGTTGTAAACAAGACATCTCTATCTAAATTGTAGATGAATATTTCCAAAAAAAAAATGTTTGCATAGATAGGTACTTGGTTTATTAAAATGTAATAAATCCATAACTTTGTTGGTACCATATATTATCTTACCAAAAACAGTTATTAACTATTAAGAAAATGTATGTAAATAAATATAAGTGTAGTTAATTATTTTTCTAATAATATTATAAATATTATTACTTTTTTAAAAAAAAATTTTTAATTGATATATACATTTTTAATATATGTGTGTGATCGTCTGTGGTGGTTAAGGGTTAAAAAATTTACATTGGTGGAAATATGTTAAATGGCCAAGGACATTGATGAACCTTGCAATAGTCTACAATTATGAGTTTATTACTTTACTACTCTCTACAATACACTATAGATCTTGTTATACAGTCGTAGGTCATACCCTATCAACATAAACACTATCTGGAACCGATAGTGGAAACAGTTTTCTCAGAAGAAGTTTTTCCAAACAGAATAATCTCCTAAATGGCTTGCATACATCAGTTACTGCATCTTGCTGACTAAAATTTTAAACAAAAACAAAGAATTAATATAAATTAAATTATTTTTAAAATAGTATTAATTTAATGGCTCAATATCATATTAAAAATCAATGTAGCAAAATAGTAAGATAAATAATTGTTGTTGTAGTGTATTTGTTAAGTTATTTCAGATGTATCATAGCTAATAAGTACCTCATACATTCAGTAGAGGCGTAAACTGTTTTTCTATGAAGCAACTGCCTTAAATAAGTACCCACACCACACACCAATTTTATTCACATTTTACACTTATTTTTTTACAGACTTTAAACGCAGGCCCTAAGAGACCATGCGAGTATAAATTATAAACTAGTCTAGCCAACTAGGTGTTTGAGCTGGAGTCATTAGGGTACCCACCTTCACTTTTGCATGAGACAGCTGCCTAGCAAACAGTTATTCACGCCTCCACTAAATACATTATAGGGATTGTAACACTACATAACTTACATAGTTACATGATTTCAGTTATGGTGGTTTGAATGTGATTGTTGTAGCTTGTATATAGCATAAGTTTAACCTGTTTTTCGCAATGATTTTAAGTATTTGTCGATACATTTTACCTAGAAATAATTACACTAGTTTAAAATAAAATACACAAGCAGGTTAGTAGCCAAAAACTATGTATGACTTACGAAAATCACATCAAAGGTGAACTGTTTAGATTTGTTATTTGTATACCGCACAAGGACAGGTAGTGAACGTATTAATTAATTGTATAAAACATACTCAAAGAGTAAAGAGTAAAAAAGGTAAAATAATTACGCTGTGTCTATATGCCCGACCATTATAGTCGGGAAGATAAGGGACGCCCGACCATGGTCGTTAAGATAAGAAACTCCCGACCTTGGTCGTTAAGATAAGAAACTCCCGACCATGATTGATAAGATAAGGAACGCCCGGCCATTCACGAATAAATGCGCCTTTATTTGAATGTTGGTGGTTATTGAATAATATATTTATATAGAAATTTATCTCAATTGTATTCTCTTTAGACCCATTTAAACCTGATCTTTTCAGTTATCTATAGTTCCAGTGTGTTTCTCCACAGTGATCTATTTTTGAGTGTTTTTCTTACAGTTACCTGTTTTTGCAGTGTATTTCTCCACAGTTACCTGGTTTTAACAGTGTTTTTCTTATTTAATAATATTAAATTTTTATTTTATTAACCTAAATATGATGGAAGTTGGTCAGACATTTACCTCATATTTTGATTTTCAAAATAATTTTGAGGAATATAAAAAAACTTTTTTTTGTGATTTTGCGATTTCGGATTGTCGAACTTTAAATGTAGCTCGAAAAAAATATCCGCAAAAATTAAAAAATACTCCGGACTCGTTAAAATATTATTTTGTAAAATTTAAATGTGTTCATGGAGGAGTTTACAAGAAGTGTTCTAACAACGAACAGCAACGATCCACATCGTAAGTGTGTTTATTAATTACTAAATTATTTATCAATTATTTTAAATACATAAGAACCATTATCTAGTACTATGAAGCAAAATTGTCCAGCATTCATTTATGTAACAGTAACCAGTGATGGTACAAAATTAGAAATTGCACGTATGGATGAATGCCATAACCATGCTATGTCTTCAATGTTGTTTTCTAATCTACCCAATCAGCGCCGATTAGCTCCTCAGACCAAATCTGAAGTAATTGAATTGATGGATTTGAAAGCTAATAAGAAGTTAATTCAATCAAAAATCCATGCCGAAACTGGAAAAAAAGTTACTCTTAAAGATTTATCAAATATAAATAGCACAGGTAGGTAGTTAAAAAAAAAAATTAAGTTTTTGTAATTGTTCACAATGCTTACATTTATTATTTCATAGAAAAACTAAAGCACAGACCAAAAAATTTTGAGGAAACAATCGAAGAGGTTAAAAATACGTATAAATGTACGATTGAATTGCTAGTGCATAATGATGGGACTTTATTGGGATTGTTCCTTCAAGACTCAAGAATGAAAATAGAATTTGAAAATTTTCCTGAGGTACGTCTTATTATTAATACAATTTATGTCATTAATTTGTATACTTCTTATATCATTAATTTTTATATTTTGTATGTCATTAACTTTTATACTTCTTAAATCTAGATGGTTTGTGCTGATGCAACTTATAAATTGATAGATTTGAAAATACCATTGTATGTCCTGCTAGTTGAAGATGGTAATGGCCAGAGTGAAGTAGCAGCCCTTGGCCTATTAGTAAATGAAGAAAAGGAGACGTTAGCATGGTTTTTTAAAAAATTCAAAGAACTAAATCCTGCCAGTATAAACACTAGAGTGTTTATCACGGACAAGGACATGAAGGAGCGGACTGTCCTAAAAAGTCTGTTTCCTGAATCGTTCATGGTAATATGTTTGTTTCATACACTGAGGACATTCAACAGGGAAATAACATGTGATAAATTGGGAATCACACCCGATCAAAGAGATATGTCTAAGCGCATATTTGAAAAACTATGCTACTCTAAAAATGAAACAGAGTACATGCAAATATATACAGATTTTATTAACTCTGAATTAACTCCTCATCAAGTAGTAGCATATTTCAATAAAAATTGGCACAACATCCGCGAACAATGGGTAACTGGTTTAACGAGTGAGTCTGGAAACTTTTTAAACTCAACCAATAATAGACTAGAAAGTTTCAATTCAAAACTTAAATCAGTAATTCCAGTGTATTCAAATCTGACAGAGTTTTTTAGAAAACTTTTTATTATTTTAAAATGTATTCGGTCGGAACGGGATCACTGTGCAATGAAAGTAATTCAAAAAATACCAACAACAATATTTCAAAACTTAGATGAAGAAAAATATTATAAACTTCTTACTCCTTACGCATTTAATTTCATAAAAAAAAATTTATTTTGCCCAACAAAGTTTTTGTTTTTATTGTAATGGTCGGGCGTTCCTTATCTTCCCGACCATGGTCGAGTGTTTCTTATCTTACCGACCATGGTCGGGTGTTCCTTATCTTACCGACCGTGGTCGGGCGTCTCTTATCTTCCCGACTATGGTCGGGCATATAGACACAGCGAAATAATTAATAAATTCGACAAAAAACTTCAAATCCTCAAAATATTAACGTTTAATTTATTATTTACTTAAGAATCAAACATAACCTCAATATTATATGCATTTGAAGTGATAACCATCTAAAACCTGAACCGCAGTTATAGTGATTAATGATCCGTCATCATAATTTATAATCTATGATTATTGATAAAGCGATTTTTGTAGGATTTTTTTGATTTTTTAATGGTTTTTTGAAGCTATCTATTTAACTTCAAAAAAATTCGTTAAGCCGATCATTTAAATGGAATCTCCATAAAATTCTCTATCGATAAACATAAGGTTTGACCATTTATCGTTCTCCTATGTGGGCTCCTCTTATTTCTTAACAATGTATTATCATTCAATGTGTATTATAGGTACCTACTATCAGTGGCGCAAATAGGGGGAGGGGGGCTTGGGGGGCTTAGCCCCCTCAAAATCACTCAAAGCCCACTCAATTAATAACAATATAAATATATAATATATATTATAATTTTCAAAAAAAATATTCGGGGCTTGAGCCTCCCTAAACATTTTTCCTATTTGCGCCAATGCCTACTATAATAATAAATAGGGCCCGGATTTATATGCTCTAAAAACCTAAGAAATGTGCACTATAAAATATGCATTTATGCTCTTATTTTATAGAAATAAAACCTATAAAATAAATAATATGCAAACAAATCGATAAAAAAAAGTCTTTTATTTTCATTATTTTTATAACTATAACTATAAATACGTTATTTTAATAAAAATAAGCAAAATATTACATATTATGCATTTAAAAACCGTAAATATGCAATAAAAAATCGTAAAATACAGAAATATGCAGTAGCCAGTAGGTACATGCAAAAATATGCAAAATAAAACTTTATATTTCGGATCTATTGATTACAAATCAAACTTGTAGTTTGCCTAGCTATTTTTTGGACTATTCAGAAAAAACATACAAATGCATATAAATCCGGGCCCTAGACTAATAAAGTAGGTTGAATTATTTTTTCCGAAAAAATTACATTCTAAAATGTCGCTGTGTAAAGTGTGTAAAATATAATATACTTGAAGAAGTTTCAAATACCCACTAATAATATTTTTAAATCGCGATACCACTCCTATAAATGATTTATCTTTGCCATTAAATGTAAATGATTTGATTGTATTGCCATCAACAAGCCAGCCCATTCCCACCCCTCAGTTACAGAATGAACCGCCACTTTCCACATTTCATTTACAGAATGAACCATCTACAAGTAAAAATGATTTTTCTAACATTTATTTAACTCCACGTCGTTTACTACAGTCAGTTTTTGATGATGTCATTAAGTGGCCTATTCCACAAGAATCCAAGACCAAAAGAAAAAGAGAATACATACCAAGTGTTATAACATCAGACAAATGGGTGGAATATCATAAACTAAAAGAACAAGATAAACTTGACAAAGAACAACAAAAATTAAATAAAAAGATGGTGTCACTGGAGAAAAAAAAAGAAATTGAAAAGAAAAAACTTGAAAAAGCTGAGGAAAAAAAAAAAAAAGGACTTCTTGAAGATTTTAGTTCTGATAGTGAGCTATCAGATTTAGATAGAAGCTGGCAATCCAGTAGCCACAATGCAGATGAGCCCCTTGCACTTCCTCTTGAAAATATGGCCTTGGTTTCATGTGTTTCAGACTTGAAACCTGGTGACTACATATTAGTTAAATTTTCTACAACTAATAAAAGAATGTTAACATATAAGTATTAAATTTTCTACAACTAATAAAAGAAAGTTAACATATAAGTATGTGGCCACAGTTTTACAACTGTTGAACAATGATGAGATTGAAATACAGTGCTTTGAAGCTACAGATGAAGAAAACACTGAGTTCATTGTAATTGAAAATGATATATCTGTAATAGATATAAGTGACATTGTGGGTAAACTACCTTACCCAGAACTAAAAAAAAGTGGTAGACAGTAAAAATCCATTTTTCCTGGAGTTGTTGATGTTTTTGAAAAGTTTTAAACCTGATGATATTCTTTACTATTCTTTTAATTTTAAAAATATAGTTACTTAATTATTATTTTATGTTCCTAATCGAGTACAAAGTAAGTACCTACCTACTGAATAAATGTTAAATGTGTTACCTATTTGTTATATTTATAAGATGTTGAATAAATTATTTCATTTAATCTTATAATAACTATTTTATTTGTATTTTTATAATTCTGGCCATAAATGGATATTTATGATGGCCATAGATGGGGTTTGTTGGCCATAAAAGGGGGAAACTGATACTTTTATTACCAACATTTTTTTTTGCCCTTATATTTTTGTAAACAATCTATAACTGAGACCCCACAATAAGCAAGTCTTAATCTATAGGTTCTCAAATGGTCATTGCTTAGCTATTAACTGGCAATGTGTTAACATTTAATTTGTGCGCATAAATTGTTAAAGTGGCCATAGCTGGTGACTCCACCCTACTGAAGAATATAATAGAATAATAACATAATTTACACGACATATTATATATTGATAGAAATAATCATTTAGTAATAATAACATAAAATAATACTTAGTTAAATGAACCATGGATAAATTTTATTATGAATCTTGTTGAGGATTTTTAGCTGATAATTTTTTGATTCTATTAGAAGCTTGTGCCAACCAATATTTTAATGGTTTTTCTATTTCAATGTTAGGGAGATTTTGTGAAGAAAATGGTTTCATTTGGCGAATAGTTTCTAAACAAACAAAAAACAAATCATTTGTTATTTTTCATTGACCATATATCTATATTTATTAATCCATTTACAGGCTTAAATACCTATACTATCTATCAATAAGTATTTGAGACGTTTAAATACTAGGTACCTATATATTAATGTATATTGAATACATATTTTCTACTTTTAAACATATTATATACTTTACATAACATATATTATATATTTACTAAACATATTTCGTATTTTTGTTAAATTTAAAGACAACTACTAAAATCTTATCTTTATAATAATATATTATATGCTGCTGATAATATGAGTGATAGGTACTAATCTTGAAGAAACATTTATATGATTGAATTGATACATAATAATTTTAATTAATGTTAAATAATAAAACTTTAATTTCTGAAATGTGATCATTTTGGTAATAATTGTTTTAAATTTAAATATACTTGTAACTATAGTTAATAATTATAAATATTAAATATTGTTAGTTAAGAAATAATAAGGTATAAAAACAATTTATTATTGATTAAACAACCTATATGTACATATATTTACCTTCTATATTATACTAAATATTAATTTTATCTCAACTTTGCAAATAATTTGAATTTAGTTGTCAATACCCTCAAAGCTTAACTAATATTTATAAATAGCAAAAGTTTTAAAAAAAATATATGTATTATTAATAATTTTGTACCTAATTGACAACTAAAAATTTTAAAATTTGACAAAATATAGTTTTTAAGTTATTTTTACAATACTGGTGATAATAGTATTTATATGATGTTTATAAGTTATAACATTTAATATGAAACGGTTTGCTAATCATTTTAATAAGTTATTGGAAATTTTTACTATTGATTCCCCAAAGTAAAAACTTCTAATTTGTTAACAAAAACCTCCATAAAAATCAAAGATTCGAGCCTTTTTTTTTTCTACTTAAAACTTGTGTTATGAAGTTTTATATAAATTTCTATGATTTTAATCATTGCACTGAAAAAATCTAAAAAGTGATAATAATGAGTATTAAGTAATTTGCTTAAATAGTGAGCTACATAAAAATTGTGAGAAAGGCAAGTGAGTGAAAAGTCTGTATATCTATTAAGACATGAGCGGAAAAGTTCATTACCAAAATTGTATAAATAAAAAATTGGTTAACTTTTATAAATTACTAATAATAACTATGTAGATAGTTATTATGTATGGAGTATTAAATTGATTAAAATTGCATTAAAAATATTTACCAAATATCACGGAGCAAGTTTGGAGTGTAGAAAAATTTCCTTTTCCTTTGAATCCTATGTAGGAGTAGTTAGTTAGAAAATTATCAGTGAATAATGTTTGCATAATTTTTCTTATAGTTTCAGACAAATTCTGTCCTCTGTAACGAGCTAGTTCTTTAATCTACATACAAAATAAAATTCAGTAATTATAATCTTATATAATTTGAAAGAAATGTAATTTGCTATTAATACCAATTTTCTTTTATATGTTGTATCGTTTAATAATTTGTCCTCAAGATCATTTAAATCAGTCGCAGTATCCACACGAGTTATAGTGTTATCAAATGAATCTTCAAATAAAAGGATTTGTATGGTTATTAATTTCATAGTTATTGTTCATAAATCATACAAAATTGTACTTACTCAACTATTTCATTATTATAGATATGTCTGATTGAGTTTGACAGTCTTCCAGTAGTTGTGCCTGCAATGCCAATACTTCTCCTCAAATGGGCCACTGGAATGTCCACAATATGTGGAAAATGGTTGTGTCTTATATTTGATCTTAACCAATTCTCATTTATATCCACACTGACTATTACTGTCGATGGGCAGAGTTCAGCCTTATTTTTTTGATTTTCACATACTAAGTAACTAATTAAAATATTATGTTTGTTAAAATTCATAAAATCTGTAATCGTAATAAACTATGATAAGTACTCACATTTTGTTGTTACGACTTATATTCTTATAGTATTTATACCCAATGTTATCCATACATACTAAAGAATTGAGATGGATCCCAGGCACAGTAAAATAGGTTTCAGGAGCTTGCTGTGGCACATTAAAATTTACTGGACCTGCTATAATATAAACATAAATAATATTGCAATCAATAGTGAATATTAAAGAGATCAGAGAACAAGATCATTCATAATTTAAACTTTGAAATTTACCATCAATTTCGTCATCCCCATCACTTAATTGAACATCCTCCTGGGGAACTAGAAAACAAATGGTATTATATTTTAAATAAAAATAAATAGATAATTAGAATTTTATGCTCAACAATTTACCATCAAAGTCTTCCTCGTCGTCACTATTATAAAGTAGAATATTCTCTTGGGGAACTAGAAAACAAATGGTATTATATTTTAAATAAAAATAAATAGATAATTAGAATTTTATGCTCAACAATTTACCATCAAAGTCTTCCTCGTCGTCACTATTATAAAGTAGAATATTCTCTTGGGGAACTAGAAAACAAATATTATTTTATTTAAATGATAAATTAATAAAAGGAAAATAAATACATACTTTGTAGAGCATAGTTATGATCCATTTTGTATACAAATTATAAATTATTTAATAATTAAAATATTAAATGTTAAATAATTTATAGTTACTATTATTTCAATTTTAATTCGTATTAAAAAATTGAAAATTCCTATATAATATATTAAACGGGCTAAAGTAGGTACCTATAGTAACCCTAGAGTATGCAGCGCAGCCTGTGGTCGTTTAATCGTGCGACTCGTTTCGGTACGTTTTTTCATGTGGGCGGCCATTTTAATTTTAATTTTTTATATATATACATACTATATTATTTTAGTTATTCAATGGCTGTGTTAGTAAGACTGGGCCGTCATGTTATGTCTGCTAATGATACCGGCTCCTTTTTAAGTATGACTTATGGGTCTGCATTAGTTCATGTAAAAAGAAATTATGATAAACTCATGCACGCTCACTTAAAATCAATTCAAGAAGTAAGAATTATTAAAAAGTCTAAATGTGGCATACTTCCTTTTGTTGCCAACTTTGAGGTAACTACAATATTGTTTGTAATTTTTGTTGTTAATTTGACATAATTTTAAAGCTGTCATATAATTTTTTTTTATTGTTTACTATTAATTTTTGTAGTATTTTGCCAAGACAGCTGAACAAATATTTAAAGAAACAGAGCGTCGAACTGATTTAGATAAATGGTATCTGAAACTCTTAACTGTAATGTTTGAAACTATTCATTAAATTGCCAGTGAACACCCTAAGACTCCCGCCGAAGTTATCAGAATGGGTAAGAACCATAAATAGTTTTAAATTTAAACTAAATTAATACTAATAGTTCATTCATGGATTTAGAGAACTTTCACCATTTATATGCATTGCTGTTTCAATTAAAAATTGGTATATTAGATCAATTCAGAAAAGATGCAAAACAAAAGTATAGTGAGGCATTAAGTGCTTATGTAACACGTTATTTTGGTAGACCGCTCGAAAAACTGAGTGTGAGTACTGACTTTAATTAATTTATACTATGAAAAGTTTATTTTGTTTTACATCTAACATACTTCTTCATTTTTAACATTTTGTTTAATGTTTAGTTATTCTTTGAGGTTGAAGCTAAGGTTTCACAAGGTATAAAAGAATCAGAAGTTGGTTATCAAGTGGCTTTCAGTAAACAAGAATTAAGGAAAGTAACTAAAGAGTATCATGGATGAGAGGTGAAAAAAGGCTTCGATCATTTATATAAAAAAGTAGAAAAACACCTTAGTGAAGAAGAAAATGTACTACAAGTAAATATTATTAATTGTTAATTATGTAATTATATAATTATTTGTTATTCATCATAAACCATTGTTTATTTTTGAACCACAATATTATTTTATTATTTGCATTAACTATATTTTGTACTTATTAATATACCCAAGACTAAACAGTAAACAATTTTGTTTTGGATTCTGAGCGGAGCAATGATTTTACAATAATGTGTTCTTTTAAATTTTTTTATTGTTTGTGTGTGTACACTACAAGTAGTTGAAATAATGTTTTGATTTTCATCTTCAGTATCTAGTTTGATGGAAAAGTGAATCTAGTTGGTGCATTGCATCAAGGATGTCAAAATTTAAAATTACCAGTATTTTTCAAAAACGCCAGAAAAACAAAAAAAAAAAAATAAGAAAAAACGTAAATTTTTACGCTAAATCGGTTTTTGACAAAATTGATTTTGGTTTTTGGTGTAACTCGAAAACAAATGAGCATAAATACATAGAATTTTTATTGAATATTTATATTGACATTTTCTATACACCATAAAACTTTCAATATCTTTTGATTCGTTTTGAGCTGTTTACGGCCATTTTCAATTTTCAATTTTTTGTTTTATTTTCTATAATAGTCAATACGATTTTATTTGTTGAGTCAAAAAGTATGAAAATTGAATTCAAGGTTCCTGATATATTAGTTACTTTAGCAGTTGAAAATATTAAAAATTCATACACACAATTTTTTTTCACAAGCATTGAAAGTTTGAATTTTGTCAAAATTAAAAAATTATGTTGTAGTTAAAAATTTACAAAATATTCAACTTTTATAGCTAAGGATTGAAAATTTATAATAAGGTTCCACGTAAATAGGTAAATAAATTACTGAATTTACAATAATATCATCAAATATACTTAGTTATATCAATGGCTGACTGACTGTCTTCGCTCAGAATCGTTTTTCATATACAATGATATTATATCATTGAGTTCAAATTTAACACCATCCATTACAGTGATCCACTGTACAGCAGAACGGCACACACTTGCCTACCTTTTTTACCTTTATAATAAAATAAATGTAATTTAATCTATATTATAATTTTAAATTTTTTTCAGGTGGTTTGGAGAGCTATGCAAGAAAAATTCATTCAACAATATAAATATATTGAGGACTTAATTCAAAGGTGCTATCCTGGTTCCATGATTTCATTAGAATTTTCCATTGAAGATCTATTACAGTATTTCTCAGAAATTGCTAGATCCCATTAGAATATTTAAATATTATAATCAAAAATATAATATAACATAACATGTTTAAACTTTAAATTGATAATCTATTGTATTATCATTTTATCTATTTTAATTTTAACTTATTTATAAATAACATTATTTTGAGAAAACATTTTAATTTTGTTAAAAGTTATGTTCCCAAGCCTTTCTAATATACTTTATCCCTTTTTATATCATACAATGTAAATTGTAATTATGTTTAACGTTTTGAAAATTATATATTTCTGAGCATAAAATACTGTATGTATTAAGTGTTATAAATATTTTTATAATAAAAAAGTCATGAGTACTCAACATGTTTTTGAAGGTATAATATGTAGCTAAAAAAATATCATTGGTTGTTGATAAACCAATGTGTGTACAATAAGTAAATTTAATAATATGAGGCGGTGAATGAAGAACAAATGAGTAGGCATTTCACATTAGAAATGCCTGATATTTTTTTCACTTTTAAAAATATTTTTATAATTTCTTATAAGTATAACAATGTATTTATTTTAGGTTGGCTGCGTAGTGTGTATGCTTAGAATGCGTATACCTATATTGTATTATGTTCAATAAAATTATAAAAACTGATTATCAATGAGAATAATTAGTGATCATTTAATATTTATGTTTCTCGTGGTATTCACAGTAGCCTCTAATCCAGATGGTGCTACGTGGTGGGGCTTAGGGGACGGTTAGTCCCCTGAGTATGATTTAGCCAGCCCAAAATTATCAATTATTGGTTTAGATATAAGCCCTATGGGTATTTTTAATTAACAGTTTTGTTAGGTGGGAAGTAGCCCCCCCCAGAATTTGAACCCTACTACCCTAGTGTGGTAGCTTGTATATCTACTAATTTATTGTTAGGTACGTATGAATAAAGTAGACTAGTTGACTCATGCTATACTCCGCGCCACGAGAGAATGCATACGGCACGCGCATACAAATGACTGCGCTCCGCTGTCTCGAGGCCAAAAGTCCCCACCATGCGGCAACTGGTCACTGCATACAGCGGTTCCACGAGGATTTCTTTTCATCGGTGAAATGTTGATGGTTCCACTTCCACTGTCTTCGTCCATTGTATTGAAAGAGTAAAAAATGTAAAATCGGTTTAGTGAAAAAAAAATACGGCGCGCTCGTTGTTCATAAACGAGAATCGGTAAACGACAAACGACGTTTTGGAAAATATGTTTGTTATTGTGATCGCAGTGTACACACCTGCCGACGAAACCGGTGAGCTCCGGAACAAGCCGACCGGTGGAGATCGTGCTGGTAAAGTGGTAGGGATGCGCGAAAAAATACGTGTTTTGGTCGGCCGCCGTATGCATTCTCTCGTGGCGCGGAGTATAGCAAGTATATAATTCTTAGTAATGAAACTGCTTTTACATTGCAGACCACAATCATTTCTGTAAAAGTACAAACGATTTATCAATAGACCGTTTATGTGCTGAGTGTAGAAGTTCTATGGATTTATCATATTAAAAAATATATTTTATATCATCTATGGCAATCGCCAATTGTCGACATTCGTCTGCGACGATTAACAATTCTAATAATTTTAGTGAAAAAAAAATAATAAGCCATCAATATGGACAGATAGTTCGTTAAGCCGTATATATTATTATGTAAGTTTTAACACGAATTCGCACATTTCGTTATGTTCAGCCGTTCAGGTAATTTTCATAAAATATTTCGATAATTTCAAGTTACAGTTCGGAACGAGATGAAGATAGCTGTTTCTTCGGTGGCGTCACGTACTGGACGTTTGCGTTGTTGATGATGCACTCTAGCTAGGTTTCACCGGGAGAGTCGATGTTTCAGGGTAAGCTTGTTTTCATAATTTCATATTATTTTGGGATTTACGTTTTATTTTTAAGCATTTTCATAATTAAAAACATAATATAACGTAATGTTGTAGTAGAAGCTGGAAACTGTAGTAGGTAGGTACTAGGTAGGTACCTATATTCTAATTAATAATCCAATTAATGTAAATTTTTGAATTTTTTAAATTTTAATGTAACATTTATTATGCCTACACAAAACACTTACCTACCAAAATTGAATTTTTCACAAAATTTGTTGTTTTAACGATAAATGACAATTTTAGTTCCCTATTATGGTGAAAGTATTTGATACAAACAAAAAATTAATGTTCGAAAACACAATTTCCTATATTATTATTTACTAAATACAAAGAAACTTAAAAATAAAACTATGATCATTGATTACATACAGAGTACCTATAATATATTATGCATGGAACACGAAGGTATTTATTTTGACTATACCTACTTATCGTGTACGCATCAAACACAAAATAGAAATAATAACAAACAAATTAAAAATTAAATACACATCATAGTAAAATCAAAATATTCATCGCTACCGCTCAGAATCTAAAATATAAATTATAGGTACCCGACACAATTAAATTAACATAATATTAAATAATAATTAGTAATTTTGTGATCAGCAGTATTCGTAGAAAATATTAGACTTGGAATTTTACAAATCTAGTTGGTATTATGGTAGGTACTGTAAATTTAATGTACTTAGGTACCGTATATCTTCATGTTAACTCTAAAATCCAGGAATCACATTTTCATTTAATGATTTTTAAAATACAATATTATGCTTTTATAAAAATATGCTTGTACTTCTGATATATATTCACCATATTAATAAATAATTAAAATAATATATCATATTTAATGTTATTATAATTGAAATTCAAAATTATAGACTATTTTGATTTTTGTCATAATATACAATTTCAACGAACAAATATTGTTCCTCAGCACGGAACTCTTTGACATAAAAAGTTGCGTTGGCGTTACCTATATGATATCCGTGGATTCATCTTATTCACGTACCTAGTATAATATCTATCATTTATATTCCATGGCAAATTTCCAATTCATTGCAGAGGACACAGTCGTCTTTAAAAATTCCAAAATTTCAATAAGCAAAGCCGATATGAGCAAAAAACTTACCGCGTTCCGTATAATTTTATTTTTCATAAATCACAATATTTTAAGTTCTGTATATTGTTATGGGAACACTGTATATATTATCAGTGACATTATGTATTAATCTAATGCATGTAACTACAAAACATAATTATTATTATCATTAAGATTGTATTGTAAACCACATGCAGCATTATTTTAATAAAGAATATAAAATGTTTAATTAAATTATTCTAATTAGTTCTTGACAAATATTAAATATAACATGGCGCAGTCGAAAAGGATAATATAATAGTTCAATTTCCTCATCATCATGAATCAATTACGGCAGCCAAAGGATCTATCATCGGGAAAGGATTGGACTAGATGGAAAAGTGTGTTCAACCTTTACATGATAGGATCAGGTGCGATTAAACTAAAAGAAGAAGAAAAAATAGCAATTCTCTTACATTGTATTGGTGACGAAGGAAGAACAGTAAGCGAAACTTTTGAATTTACGGAAAAGGACAGGACATATGATACCTTAATTAAAAAATTTGATGAATACTATGTGCCAGCGCTAAATGAAAGTGTAGAGACTTTCAAATTCAACAGTCGAGTTCAAGGTGCAGACGAAACATTTGAAAAATTTGAAACAGATCTGCGACAATTAAGCAACAATTGCAATTTTGGTTTATTACGTGATAGGTTAATCAGAGATCGTATTGTCGCAGGAGTAAAATGTAAAATTGTACAAGATCGACTATTAAGAACTCCAAATTTAATACTGAGTAAAGCATGTGAAATTGCTAAATCAGCGGAGCAAACAATGGAGCAAGCAGCAGCAATCAACAACGGACAAGCAACAGAGGTTCAAGCAGTTTTTCAACACCAGAAAACGAACAAAAAAGAACAAAAGCAGAGCATATGTGGAAAGTGTGGAAAAATACATAACTTTAAAGAATGTCCGGCATATGGAAAACAGTGTCACACATGCAAAGGTAATAATCATTTTAGCAACATGTGTTTTAAAAAAATAAATAACGGTAATCCAGCTTATGTAAAAAACAGATACGTGAGAAATAATAAAAATAATAGTATAAAGAACAGTAAAAAAGTGTATGAAATGAAGGAAGATGAAGTATTATTTTTAGGCAACATAAATGTAGAATCGATATTAGATAGAGGTTGGTTTATAAACTGTATGATTGAAAATCAAGAGATACATTTTAAAATAGATAGTGGTGCTCAGGTGAATGTGTTACCAAATCATGTTTATATGAAGTTTGATAATAAACAAATGATAGAAAAAATTAAAATAAATTTGAGCAATTACAACGGAAGTTACATAAAAGTGTTAGGAAAGAGTAAACTAAAATGTCATTTTGAGAATGGTATGGTTGAATACATAGATTTTATAGTAGTAGATGAGCAAAGTCAACCAATTATTGGGTTTGAAACAATGATAAAATTAAATTTGGTTAAAAAACTATATGAAGTAAATGCAAACATAATGGATGATCCAAAATACAAATCAATAAGTGAGGGGATAGGACTCATGAAAGTAGAAGAGTATGATTTTAAAATACAACCTGGAGCTGTAGGGAATATTACGTATACAAGTAGAGTACCATTTACGGTTATAGATGAATTAAAAAGGGAGTTAGAATCAATGGTAAATAATGATATAATTATTAAAGAGGAAGAACCAACAGAATGGGTGAATCCAATAGTAGTTGTTAAAAATAAAAATAAAATGGGGATAAGAATTTGCTTAGACCCATTTCACTTAAATAAGGTACTATTGAGAGAACATTTTAATTTACCAACATTTGAAGAAATTTCTTCTAAATTTAGTGGAGCTAAGTTATTTACAGTATTAGATGCTAGTAAAGGATTTTGGCAACTTCCATTAACACTGAAGAGTTCAAAATTGACAACATTTATAACTCCATTTGGTCGGTATAGGTTTAAAAGACTTCCTTTTGGAATTAAAATAGCCCCAGAAGTATTTCATAAAACATTTAGTAGTTTTTGCAGATATAAAAAATGTATTTGTCTATATAGATGATTTAATTATTATAGCTAAATCTAAAGAAGAACATGATGATATTTTAAGAAAAGTATTAGATAAAGCATTAAGTGTTGGGATTAAATTTAATAGAGAAAAGAGTCAAATTGCTGTTAATGAGGTGAAATTTTTAGGACATATATTTTCAGTAAAGGGTATTCAAATTGATAAAAGTAAAATAAAAGCTATTGAAAATATGGTAGAACCCAAAAATAAAAAAGATTTAGAAAGATTCTTAGGTATGATGACTTATGTACAAAAATTTGTTCCTAACATGTCTCAGCTAGCAGTACCCTTAAGAGAATTATTAAAAAAAGACTGTAATTGGTATTGGGGTGAAACGCAAATAAAAGCATTTAATGTATTAAAATGTGCTTTAACTTCTGAGCCTTTATTACAATATTTTGATTTAAATAAAAAATGTACTCTATCGGTGGATGCATCAAAAGATGGATTGGGAGCAGTATTATTACAAAATGATTATCCTGTAGCATATGCTTCCAAAACTTTAAATGATACACAAAAACAGTATGCACAAATTGAAAAAGAATTGTTAGCTATTTTATATGGTTGTGAAAGGTTTAAACAATACATATATGGTAAAAATATAAATATAGAATCAGATCATAAACCACTAGAAACAATTTTTAAAAAACCACTAGATAAAACCCCTGCGAGATTACAGAGAATGAGAATTAAATTAATGGCGTATGATTTAAATATAATATACAAGCCAGGTAAATTTTTAAAAATAGCAGATACACTGAGTCGTGCTCACATAAAAGACAATATAGATTTATGCGAATCAGAAATAGAATTACAGGTGAATATGATTATAAAAAAATTAAACATATCTGAAAACAAATTGAGGCAGTTCAAAGAAGAGTTTAAGAAGGATACAGAATTTCAAATGTTATTAGAATTTGTTAAACATGGATGGCCTTCTATAAATAATATACCTGATCAAATAAAAAAATATTTGACGTTCTCAGAAGAACTATTTGAAAAAGATGGTTTATTGTTTAAAGGACAGTGCCTAATGGTGCCAAAAACTCTAAGAAAAGAGATGTTAGATAAAATACATTATACACATATGAGCATAGAAAAATGCAAAAGTAAAGCGAGAGAATGTTTATTCTGGCCAGAAATGACTAAAGAAATAACAGATAAAATAAATAAATGTTCAATATGTCAGAGTTTTAGAAAAAATAATAGTAAGGAACCAATGACAGTTAGAGATTTTGGAGATAACCCGTGGGAAATAGTAGGTACTGACATTTTTCAATATCAGAACAGGCAATATTTGTTAATTATTGATTACTTTAGTAAATATGTGGATATAGAAATACTTGAGGATATGAGCAGTGAAACAACAATTAATAAGTTAAAATTGATATTTTCAAGATATGGAATACCATTAGTTTTATTTTCTGATAATGGACCACAATTTTCTAATAGTAATTTTAAAAATTTTTCTAAGGAATGGGATTTTGAACACAAAACTTCAAGTCCTAGGTACCCACAAAGTAATGGTATGGCAGAAAGAAATATTCAAACAGTTAAAAACATATTTAAAAAAGTTGTAGCAGACAAAAAAGATATTTATTTAGCGATGTTAGAATTGAAAAATACACTCATTCTAAATGAAAATTACACACCAAATGAAATAATGTTCAATAGGAATGTGAGAGGGATTGTTCCTAAGATTTGGACAAGAAAAATTAACTATAACTCAGTTAAAAAGGCAATAACTAGCAAACAAAAAATTGATAAAAAACAATATGATAAAAATGCTAAAAAACTAATACCAATAAAGGAAGGTTATCATGTTTTTGTTAATATGGATAATAGGAAACCATACATACATGGAAAAGTGATTTCGGTATGTAAAAGACCAAATTCATTTGTCATTAAACTAAGTAATGGACAGACAGTTGAAAGAAACAGAAAACACCTAATATGGGATCCTGGATATGATTATGGTGATAGTAGTGAAAGTGAAAAGGAATTAGTTAAAGAAAACCAAAACAAAAGTGAAAAGGAATTAATTAAAGGAAATCAAAACAAAAGTAAAAAGGAAATAGTTAAAGGAACACAAACTAAGAGTGGAAGGGTAATAAAAAAACCTAAGCATTTAGAGGAATACATATAATATAATATAAGAATTTAAGATTGTTTACTATTAAAAAAAAAAAAAAAAAAAAATGTTAATAAGTATAAGAATTTAAGATTGTTTATTATTATTTAAAAAAAAAAAAAAAAAAAATGTTAATAAGTATAAGAATTTAAGATTGTTTATTATTATTTAAAAAAAAAAAAAAAAAATGTTAATAAGTATAAGAAATTAAGATTGTTTACTATTAAAAAAAAAAAAAAAAAAAATGTTAATAAGTATAAGAAATTAAGATTGTTTACTATTAAAAAAAAAAAAAAAAAAATGTTAATAAGTATAAGAATTTAAGATTGTTTATTATTATTTAAAAAAAAAAAAATGTTAATATAAAAATTTAAGAATGTTACCTATGTTTAAAAAGGGGGATGTTATGGGAACACTGTATATATTATCAGTGACATTATGTATTAATCTAATGCATGTAACTACAAAACATAATTATTATTATCATTAAGATTGTATTGTAAACCACATGCAGCATTATTTTAATAAAGAATATAAAATGTTTAATTAAATTATTCTAATTAGTTCTTGACAAATATTAAATATAACATATATTATGGAGATTTTCCTCGTCAGCCTCGCAGTGAACACACGTCACGGATTCCGCCGAAAGAATCGATGTTTAAAGTAAATTTGTTTTCATATTCTTTTGGGGATTAAATTTACTTTTAAGAATTAAGATAAATATTTAATGTCACGAAAAATGTGTTATTGTAGACGCATATTTTATAAATTGTTTTTCCATTCCCCGGTCGTAGAATAATTGTAATTAATAGGTGAATATGAAAATTGTTTACTTGAAAAAGACATATGTTTTGGTTTAATTTATAGAAATATATGTTTTAACTGAAATACAACTGAATACAATTTTAATTTATAATAACTGGTCATATTTTTCAAATCCAACGTTATAAGTTATGGGTAACTATATTAACTTAGTGTAACATAGGTACTCAACTTCTATTGCTCTCCTAATATCTATATCATAGGACTCGTAGATTGTGATACATTTTGTAGAAATTTGAACTTTAAATGCCTATAAAACAAAACTTGCCTATGTATTTGTAATATTTTTTAACTTCTATTATATCAACTTACGAGGAACTTTATACCTATTATTTTTAAGCTTTTTGACCCGACGAATAAAATTTTAATGACATTTATAGAATACAGAACTAAAAACATTTCATAACTCAAATGTCTTTAATAAATCACTGAAAACGAGTCGAAATATTTTGAACATTTAATAATGTATAGAAAATGGTAGTTTAAACATTGGATGGACATTTTAAATAACGCCGGTTAATAGTTGTTGAATAACAACAAAATAAGAAAATGGTTTTACGAGAATCATACACACAATATTGTAAAATCGAAATATTCATTGCTCCCTTAGTCCGCTCTAAAACACAAACTAAGACATAATAGTTAAGTAGGTATAATATAAATTAAACATTATACATATAAAATGTAATAGGTATCCGTAACGCTTAGGTCATAAGAATATTGTCGAACATTTTACTGCAGGCTGCGTATTATTTCAGAAATGGTATTTAACTCGTCAGTGAAGATTTGTCAACTGGGAATAATATATCATAAGCATTAAGCATACTGAAATGTGTAACGTTGCAGTATTTCGAAGACTAAGTTTTATAGCAGATTCTGATTCGGACACGGGGTATGTATTTTATTATTTTTCTGCAGTAGGTTTCTTTTTATTATAGTTAATCGATCAGGGTTGTACTGCCCGAAACTTTTCAATTATTTGTATTGTAACTATACTGGTATAACACTATTCTGGCTATCAATAAAGTCGTGATAAAAATTAGGAAATTGGTCAGGTATGATATTTTATGGTATGTAGGTACTAATTCTTTTGAGTAGATAATTTGTTCAATTATTTAAATATTTTCACCGATAATCAAGTACGATGACTTGTAGGTAACTAGAGACTGAGTGAATAGGAATTAGGAAGTGTATGAATGTATGATGTAAGGAAGAAAAGGAAAGAGGTCATTAGGATTTCACAAGGCTGGGCATTAACGAGTTAATAAGTTAAAAGTTAAGTTAATTTTAACTTATTAACTTAACTTACTAGTTCGTTTCTCATTTATAACTGCGTTAACTTAAAATCAACTTCTACTTTTTTAATATTACCAATTAAGTTAATTTTGAATTTTCGTTTTTATCTAGAATATATTTAAGTCTATAACGGTTCGTCGATTTAAAATTCGTAGAATATTAGAAAATATTGTTGAAAAAAAAAAGAAGATATTTTCGTAATAATTTTTTTTTTTTATTAACTTAACTTATTAATTGAAGTTAAGTTAACACAATTTAATAACTTAACTTTAAACTTAATTGATGTATTAAAAATTTATATTAACTTAACTTCGAATTTAATTGAACAAAAAATATTTAACTTAACTTAACTGAGTTAAAAAAAATCATTAACTTGCCCAGCCTTGGGATTTCAGAGTGTTTGGCGTATGAAAGGGAAATGCGAAAAAGAAATGTTAGGTTAGGGTAGGTAAGTAGAGTGAGAGTAGCAGATATGAGAATGTCAAGTTGAGTGTGAAAGGGACAAAAGAGGATAGAATAAGATATTAATGAATTAAATGTAGTGTAGGAGTGACATATAATATATTTAAGTGTAAACAAGAGAGACTAGGTTGAGGTGGTTAGGTCACTGTATGATAAGAGGTAGTGAGAGAAGCTAACAGATGTAGGTAAATGTAGGGGGAAAGTGAGAGGTGAGAAGACTGAAGAAGTGATGGGTAGAACAGATGATATTATGGAGGTGCAGGAAAAGAGGGTGGCTGAACCTGTATAGTTGTGTGAGAAGGGGGAAGAAAAAGTGTGAAGGTAGAATAGTTAGGTTGACAATACCGAATACGTAGGAAAGGATCTCGAATTGCAAAAGCCACTCGACTCTTTGGCTGAAACTTCCGGCGCGCGGTAGGTTTACAACCTAGACTTATGGGATAGAATAAAAAGATCGGTTGGTTGCCGGTTGGGATGTCAGTGTTTCCATCTTTGACCCACGCGAGGTAACATCATAGGCGCTATTGGGGGATGAGGGGGGGTCTAGGGGCGGGCTTATAGCCTAATAAAAAAATTATGCGGATCTGTATTGATTTCATGAAGTAGCCAACGCGTACTACGTAGCGAAGTACGTTGGCTACTCTATGACAATTAGTGTAAATAATTAAAATTTAAAATGTTTATAAATAATTAAACTAATTCAAAGACACACAAAAAAAATAATATTTAATGTCTACTAAAAAAATTACAATATATATATATCTTAATAATTAATAAACAGTTGGGCAACTATTGCTTAAATGTCGGTTGGAGACTGTAGTCATCACCAGCTAATATTAAACGAAAAGTAAAGATGAGGGCGTTGCCCTCACACCACCATAAAAATATTAATTTGAAAATATAAAAACTATAAAATAAAAGAAATTTCTTCTTTTCAAGTTTAATTCTTCACAATAATATACTGTCTATACCTAATTAAAAAACAAAAATTAAGAGTTAAGTTGAATTTTAAAAAAGTTTATTAATATTACGAAACAATTGCATAATTTATTTTTTTTTTTTGGGTCAGAGATGGAAATAAATAGTGCACTAAAAATATGACGTCCTCTTAAGTGTTATCAAGTTAAGAGGGGGGGTTCACACTACACCGTGTCGTGTGGACCCTCCTTAAGAAGCTGTTAATTGTTGATATTTAACATTAACTGTGGTAGTGGTATGATTGGAAGTTAAAGTAATAAGTAGGGCTGTGAATTGAATGCACTAAACAATTTTTAAATATGCACTAAAATTATGAATGCTATGAAATTAAATGCTCTATAAAAAAGCCATTATTAAAAACCATTGAAATTAATAAATACAAATTATAAATGGCTTACAAAAAAAAATTCTTTATTCACATACTAGCTAAGTAGTAAGTATCATTATTTTTCTAATTTGTAAAAAATTATGAATGTATATTATAGCCAATTTAGACCTGATTTACAGATAAATACAATTTTTTTTAAGAAAATAATCATAAATAAAAAACATCATAAAAACTTTCAATTATAAAAATGCCTTAACCCAAAATATAGACATGGGATTTTGTATTTGTACAAAAAAAATAAATGTTTAATTGTTACATATTACTAGTTAGGTGGCCAAGAAAACATGTAATTACTTACCTAACCCATTAAATTATATGCTAAATAAGATTTCGTATTTAAACTATAAATAAACCAAAACAAATTTTGGCCGTATCCATTATCTTATAGTTTTTTATACTGTGTATCAATACTATCTATACTTGTACCTCCACTAATTTGACAAGACGACCATTCTTTAGAAATTTCAAAGTCTCGACTCTTAAATGTTTTTAAGCAACTAACTTCAAAGCAAGTTTTACATCCCAATAATCCATTTTTACAAAAAAACCATGTATGTTTTTCTTTTTTTTGTGCCCATTGTTCAGCAGACCAATCTAAAGGCCACAACACTCCAGCAACTTCTGAATTCTCTGTTATAATTAGTTTTAAACTTGTCTGTAAAAAAAAAAAGTATTATTAAGTAAAATATTTGAAATGTTAGTTTTTTGCTGTTTATTTTACAAAAGTAAACAAATAATAATAAAATCTTAATTTTTATTTGAATAAATCATAGGTAAAAACTTTAAATTTTTCATATTTTTTCTTAACTGATTTGTTTAAATTTATCGTAAGTTCCTAACAGCTATTGATAGCCACCACGGACTAAGATATAAAATATACATATATATATTTCCCTAAAAGTAGTTAAGATATTATTTTACCTGAGGCACTTCTGTAGAAGCATCTAAATGTAATGCAACATGAATAGATGCGTTGTTCTTTGTTTCTACCTTATGAGGGGGAGATTGTAAATCTGCTACATATGTCTCACCAAATTGTTCTGTGGGCACATTCTCGACATTTTTA